CTGCTTGGTAGTAGCTATTAAAGGTAAATGTACACATACCTTAAGATCCAGCAAATGCACTCCTGGGTATCTACCTAACAGGGATGCATACACCTGTGCACCAAATGACATATACAAGAATGTTTACAGGGTAACTGTCTTTAGTGGTTCATCTATAAACAAACCCATGTCTTTCAACGGTAGAATGAATAATAAGTTATGATCTATTCATAAAATAGAAGAGTATACAACAGAGAGAATGGATGACTCTCAAACATATAATATTAAGCAAAAGACAGTAGACCAAAGAGTTTGGTTCCAGAAAAATTGATCTTAAAAACAAGAAAAACTCATCAGTGGTGACTGGAAGTCAAGATAGTGGTTACCTTTAGAGGTAGCTATTGGGAGTAAGTATGAGATGGATTTCTTGCTGGAGTTGGTAATCTATTTTTCAAACTAGTTGGTTAAATGGCCAAGATCACTTTAGGAAAAATTCAGTGGGCTGCACACTAATGATTTGTGAAGTTTTAGAATAAATGTAGTACTTTTAAAAGTTTTGCTTCAGTTGACACAAATTTTTATGAAGACTTTGGTTAAGGCAGTAAGTTCTTATGAAGATATCAAATCCTGCTTCTGAGACAAAAATAAAAATAAAACACAAAAACTAATATAAATTAAACCGTAGCACAATATAATAGAACTTTTATTAATTTTTTAAAGTAGAATGTGATGCCTCATGAAGCAGGGAGTTTGTTATCACTGGATTTATACAAGGTAAAGATAGAAGCATTCCTATTAAATAATCTTAAAAGGGAGTCTTTAAAGGGTGGGCTTTGGATAAAATGATTTCCAAGGAGCTTTTCAACTCTAAGACAAAATAATGTCAACCTTACAATGAACAAACACAACCTCCCAAGTGGGTCATACCAAACAATTTGCCAAACACTGTTCATCAGTGAGCAAATCATTTAAACTATCAAGCTGATTCCACTTAAAAGAAAATATATTTCTCACTTCCTTATATGTTTGACAACTTTTAGTTACATAATTTAAAATATATACATTAAACTACTGAGTTAAGCAATACATTAAATTATGCCTAGATTTTTTTAATATTCTTAACAAAAACCTAAAATAATCTAGTGACAGTTGACTGCTCTATTGGTCAAAGATGTTTTGCCATGGGAAAATTTAGAATGTTGCTAACTATATCTATTCACTGTGCCAGGACTGCCTTATGAAAAATTAAGCAAGTTCTATTTATTGCTCACCTAAATAGTCAGATCAGATATGCATAATGTGTGTATGTGTTGATATAAACACCATTGTATATTTTTCACACTACATAGCAAAGAGATATTTATAATGGATACTGATTCAGTTTGGGCTGAACTTTAGGTGCATGAAAGGCAGAGACTGGCACATATTCTACTTTTAATTCATAGGACCAACTCCTCCTGGTTGTCAAATAATTATTTGCAGATATCAATAATTCTTAAATTTTTTGGTTCAGGACCTGGAATAAAAATTGTGTATCGTCAACACAGTAAAATGTAGACATGAATAAATTTAAAATATAATTTTAGAGACTTTTCACCCTTTGTTTTCTACCCACATATCTGGCAGTGTCCTGTACACATATATCACAGGTCCTGGCCTGGTTAACTAAAATAATGTATAGTTGGCACAAACACTGACAATGTTGCTGGCTTTGTTATAATATTAAACACTATTAGGCATCCTACCCTGCAAGGTAAATTCAGTTTGAGATTCTTTAAGTTGTTGTGGAAGCATTAAGTATTTATCATCACCCAAAATTGCGCCAGGCATTGAATAAAGCATTTACCTGTCTTTGAAATTTTCAGAGAAATCCACAGTTAATGCTGAATTTTTGCCTATATTAACCAACTCAAATGACATAAGACATAAAAATGTAAGTCACATATATTACAATACTACCCTGTAAGTAGATTGGAAAAAAATGTAGTTACCTACATGCTTACTTCTGTAGGCTCCCATAGTAAAATCCCAGAAACTCTTAATTTCCTTCCATGCCATATGTTGTTTCATTCTATCTTAAACAATTTATTGAATTCAATGACTACAAGGAAGGACTAGTATGAAGTGGAGAAGAAGGCAAAAGTCTTCTAGTGGTTTGAACCTATGGTGGCTCAGTGGAAAGAAAATATATACCTCTAAAATAATGTAGTAGAAAATGAATCTGAAACAACTAATGCAATTCTTTCTTCTGCTTTTATCTGGATGTGCACATAATAAAACGTCACCAACCGCATGCATTGGTATTTACATTCTGTTTACTATGGGAAGTATCCAGCCTGAACAAAGAACAGAGTACTCTGCTTAACAAATTATTTTGGCAGATGGAGAACTGCCACATATTCCACATATGAATAATTATTTTTAATAATTTAGAAGTTACTTCAGGATGTTACATTATAAATATTGATTTTTACTATATTGCAGAAGTACAGAAATAGTAATAAAAGGTATACTTGAATTCCAGGAAGATGATGGCTTATGTTGAAGTCATTCATTCTGCCTACCACTCATCCACCCATCCATCCAGCTATCCATCTATCTTTCTGTCCATCCATGCATACACCCACTCATCCATTTTACATAATATGGGATATATGGAAATACAGTGGTACACAAAATGGATAATTTTTCTCATGAAACTGTCATGAATAAAAATGTAAGAAAAATACACAATGACTATACTAGATGATTGGATTTTTAAAAATTTAGTGAGATATAATTGACATACAACATTGTTCAAGTTTAAGGTGTACATGTTGATTTGATAAATTTTGCAATATGATTACCACCATAGCGTTAGCTAACACTTATATCATGTCGCATAATTTAGATGATGAGATTTCAAGCGATCTTTTTCCTTGTAAATTTTAACCACCATAATTGTATATTTTTTATTGCTTCATAAGCTTTCCATTCATTAACTATTTGATCCTTGTAACAACTCTTGGAGGTAGGAACTATTAGTATTACTTATTGCACAGATGCAGAAATAAAAGCACAGAAAGGTAAATAATTACCTAAAGTCACTCAGCTAATAAATAGAAGCAGGATTTGAACATATGCAGTGCATCTCCATACACTGTGTTCTCAAATCCCACAGTTGTATTATCTCTCAAGAATGGAGGTACGTTAATATGATCAACAATATTGCAATATTAGCATCAGCAAGAATAACAATAATGATATACACAATTTTTATTGTTTTATAGACTTGTCACTGTTGACAACTGCTTAGACACAAGTTCTAGTTTAATCTTTACAACAACCCAATGACTTAAGCGTTATTGTGCTCCATTCATAGAATGAAAAATGAGGCACAGAGTCGTTAAACATCCTGCCCCAAAGCAAAAAGCTTATAAGAAAAACAGCGGGCATTTGAACCAGGTTTGTTTGACTCCAAAACTTACTCTTAACCACTTTATTAAACTTCCACCACTAAATATGTTTAATGAAATAAACATTTGTGTCTGAAAAATACGACAAACGTGTCAGAGTGAATCTAGATAAACATTATCTAAAATTTAACTACTAGAATTTATAATTTTAAGTATTAGGTTCATATTTAAAATAATTTTTTGATAATTCATATTAATATAATTAGGGGGAAAAAACCCTTGAATTTGCTTTTCTTAACTGTGTAAAGCAGCAATTCTAGGCTAGGGCTATCTATATCATACCAAGGGATATTGCGCTCTCAGGCGGACTCCTAAGTATTTCTTAGCTGATTCCCTCACCTACAGGAAAAATGTGGGGTGAAAATTGAGCAGAGCAGGTTTGGTTAACATTCTAACACTAGAGTCTCTGAAAAAATAGTCAATAAAATTAACAAAGTAAATAGCAGCCACAAGAATCAGTATTTTGTAGGATGTGGAGTCTGAACTTCTTTTAAAAAAGGGATAGATCGGTCCTGGCTGCAGATGAAAGAATTTAAAAACCTGTCTACGAGACAAGAGTCCAATTCTAACACAATATACTTCTAACACAATAAAGAGAAGAATATTGTAAGCCAAGTTCCCCAAATTTTCCAATCAATGACTAAGGATGTTAGGGCAAGAAAGTGAGCTATATTATGATGAAGGGTATCTATTGTTGCCTATCTCTCCACCAGATGCTAGGCTATTGAGAAAAGATTGCATATTTTATATTTAACTTTGTAGCCTTAGGTTCTAGCACAGTATGTGGCACAGAGAAGGAAGTCAGTGTATGTTTGTTTCACATACAAATGGCAACTTGCAAAATAAAAGGCTCAAGGGTTTGCAGATTCCCAAGTTTTGAGGAGATCTTAAATAAATATCTGGGTATTTATACAAAGCAGGTAAATAATTTCCAATGTTATACAATTTCCTAGTGATAAACGTGACTCCAGAATTCAGGCCTACTTACTCCTAGTGCAGTGTGCCTAGCTGTACTTTTTAATATCAAAACACATACACTATGAGCATGCTTTTTATGGGTCAATCAGCAATTTACTAAGATATTATCAGATGGTATCTGTCTTTCAGAAGTTTACAATATGATTTCCTTCTAAGGTTAATGCTGAAATCACCCACAACCCAAGGTAAGAATCCAGTTGACCACTTAGATTTCAATTTTCTTGTATGTAAAATGAAGGGGGTAGCCCTGATGCTTGCTTGCTAACTGTCCTTAAAACTCTAGATTTCTATAACTACTCTATACTTACATGCCTTTATTTTGATCAAAGGAGATTAAAGCATATTATACAATACATATAAAATAAGCACTTGGTGCTTGAGTATGTTACTAGTTTTTCTTTTATAAATTAAGCTAAAGAATCTAGATGCTGCCTTTGGTGGCAAACCCTTCTGTTGTAACATGATCAATTATGTATACTGAATTATTCACCTCTCCACGGAATAAATGACACATCCCTTTAAACATTTACCTTCATATGGCAAAGTTTTCATTTTCTGCTGACTTACCTGGGTATGCTTTATTGGTAGATGTGTACATTTTCAAAGGATTTTTTTTCCAGTGACTGGGATCTGATGAACAAATCTGCGTCTCAAGCTATGTTTGAAGTAGGGCCCTTTAACAGTCCTTTAAAATAATAAATATCAATATTAGTTCTAAAGGGATCATATAATTCATTTTTATAACTGAGACCAGTAATTACCAAATAGGAGTACAGCAAAGTCTCTGAGGTAGCAAGAGAAAACAGTGTAAGATATTATATTTACCAAAGGAGCATAGGTTAAAAAAGGTTGAGAGACTCTGCCACAAATAAAAACTATCTGGACACCTCTGGAGATATTTCAACAAATGGAAAAAAGAAAGTTCACAAAAGTTAATTGATTAAAAAAATAAACTAGATCTAGAACAAAACAAATTTTAATGACTGTTTTTCAAAGAATGATTAATTTGTTAATTATGAATTGGTGTATGGATGGTATAATGTGGAGAATACAGGACTGAAAGCAAGAGAGAGCTGAGTTCAAGTCCCAGCTCTGTTATCAAATGATGGGGTCCTTCATTGCTCTGGATTTCAGTTTCCTTATGTGAAAATGAAGGGACTAGACTAGATGATTGCTAACTGCCTTAAAGTTCTGATACTCTGAAACTCAACTAAATTTTTATGTCATTTTTTTGTAAAAGTATTTTATAGCCTCTGTAAAAAAAAAAGCATGTGGTACTTGAGGTATGATAGCTACATCTCTTTCTAACTAGAACCTAAGTCCTGGACCCTATGGGGATCATGCCTTGTAACCAGTCTGTATACCAGAATCACTTGTGGGGCATCATCAACCTGGAAGCTCACATTCAGTAGACCTGATAGTGCACCTGAGCCTGTGGAGTCTGAACATCTCACTCAGTGATTTTTACTATGTAACTCTTGTTAAGAATCACTGTTCCAGGTTCTCTTTTGACAAAATTTTCTTGAGTTTAGGTTGCAGACAAAGACATGCTAACAAGGGAAACAAATGCAACGTTATAATTAATCTCAAAAAGACAATTTCTTTCTTAGTCATCCATGGATAAGCTCAATACTTCTTATGTGGCTTCCACTGGATCAGAGCTTAAAGATCTTAGATATTTGAACTTTTTTTGCTAGGATAATAAAAGATCAGGTAATAGAAACTCAGTTGGCATTGAGATGGAATATGTATGAAGAAAGAGCAACACATACATATGCTTAAATATAACGTATAAGCAGATAAAGATAAGTAAATACAAAATCTTAATCTCCAATATCTTTTGTTTGCTCTTCCAAACCCACTCACCACTTTTTTCACCCTTTTCCACCCTGCTCTCTGCTCTGGGAGACTGACCTGAATGAACTGTAATAGAACCCATAGCCTCTGGCCAATGGGTAGCCCAGGCAGGATAGTGTAGGAAAGAAGAGTGAATTCAGTGTATTTTTGCCCATGGATCACTCCTGGCAAGGTCATCTTCAGCTGGCTGTGTCCCTTGACCAAAGATCACTGATCCCCTTCAGGCCGGTATATAGTTTATGGCACACTGTGCTTTCAAGTTTTGATGATTGTCCCCTTTCCTCTTCCCTTGAGGAATGTAACAGCTCTGATGAGATTGGCCCCAGTTTACTGCACTAACCCTTGTGGCTTTTCTGCATTTACACGTTATAAATAGACCCTTGTAAATAAGCCCTCCTGGAATTATCTTATTTTGAGCATGACATCTACTTCCTGTTTACAGGGATCCTTATTGAAAGAGCCTTTTATGTTAAAGGTAACGTTGAGAATGTTTGATTAATACAAAGGAAGTGGAATGTGTGGAAACTTGAGCTGCCATTTGGTAAATGAAAAATAAATAAATTTTTTAAAAAGTCATAACTCTGATAAAACCGGTATACCTAAGGTATTGAGGAAGAGTGTGGTAAAAGTCACGTTAAAACTGAGGTAGTAGTGAGTATGAGAAAATGAGATGTTGGCTTGATCTATGATATGGAAAAAAAGCAAGGAGATGTGAATTTTAACTGATACAAACACCAAGTCACAAGGCTGAAATTGGCAGAGTTTCTTTACATGCCCCAGAGACACTCGATCTGTGCTACTGCATTCATCTGGGGGCAGCTCATTAACAGAATAATATAGGCAAGCTGGAAGGAGTTCACAGAGGAGTAACAAAACGATAAGAAGTGCCAAAGGACTGACATGTGAGAAGAGACTGAAAAGATGAAATCACTCTGCTTTAGCTAAGTGGTGACTGAGGGGGAACATGTCAACCGTCTACAATTACGCAAAGGTTATACACTCCAAAAGATAGGCAGTGATTATTACAAATCAAGGGAGTATTGCTCTGTGGGAAGAGAAATTAAGAACAGGAAAGTTAAGCTCAAATACAGGACCATTTTCTAATGTAGAGCTATTTTATGTCTTGTAAAGCTAAATGTTATATACTATAGCCTTTAAAAAAAGACAAAAATGATGCAAATTATAAACCATTACTTAATATTGTATAGGTAGATTCTCTATGTCTGTCCGTCTATCTATCTATCTATCTATCTATCTGATCTACCAGTGTATCTTAAAATCAACCTTTCACAAACATACATAGAAATAAAAATAATGATTGCTTCTATTACTATAAGTTTTGTGCTAAACATTTTAGCAAGCATCTCATTTAATTGTTAGCATTGCATTTTAGCAATCAGGGAAACTTAGGGTAAGAAAATTTGAGCAACATTTGAAGGTCACCCAGCTAGTAAGTGTCACAGCCAGTGTACAAACCCAGGGGTCTTTATCTCCATGTCTCTGCTTATAATCCCTGGAGGTACTACTTTAGTACATTATTGTATCTGCAAATTTTTATTATTCTATTGTTTATATGACTGTATGGATTATTTACAAATTCTATGGAGCACTTTGTTATGAATTTCCTTGACTAGCTAATGACATATTTTAGGTACCTTGGAATATGGCTACTCATGGCTCATGGTCATTACATTTGCAAGGGACAGTCATTTCCACAGCCATTTTCCATTCTTGAACAATCCATGTGGTCATCACCCATTCTAGCTATGTGGTAAAGCCTAAATAATTTTACTCCCTCATCCTAGACACTACTTATTTTTAATTTCAAAAATAATTTCTTGATCCACTACTGTATGCAATTCAAACTATTCAGTAAGTTATAATGTATTTATAAAGCTGTAATTTTAAAGAAATTATGCTATTGAGTTCTCTTTTTTAAAAAAAATAATCATCTCACACTTATTAATTTGAGTTGAAGATATATTGAAAGAAAACCTTTCTCATGGCTAATATTTCAAACAGTACAGAGCCCATAAACTGAAATGAATGAGTCCTTTTCCCTTAGAACCTTCAACCTCTGTGGTTAGAGATAACCACTGCTAATAGTTTCTTTTGTGTCTTTCCAGAAATTTTCTATGCACATATTTGTTCACACTTTCCTTTCTTCACTTAGCCATTTATTTTGGTTGCCTTTCCATATCAACACATAAAGTGGTACTTTATCCTTTGTAATGACTATAAAACATTCTACTGAATGGGTGTAACATTATTTGTTCATTTCCCTGTTGATGGATAATTTAGATAGTTTCTAGAATTTTAAAAATAATCCAATCCTATTATGAACATATATCTACATTTATCTTTGCATACTTATCCCTACTGATAGGGCAAATTCATAGCTGGAGCATTTTCTGGGTCAAAGCATATGTATGTTTAAATCTTTTAAGGTTTTTCCCAATTGCCAATTCCAAAGTAGGTTTTACATTAATACAAAAAAATATGAGAGTCTAAACAGGCTGCTCACACTTTAAAACTCACATAGAACCCCAACATGTCATGGTATTAACTTCTGCTCTGTGGGCATAAAATGGCAATTTGCCAAAGAAGAACATTTTATTCTACATAAATATTTTACTCCTGGGCCAGGTTTACCATTGCCCACTTATATTTTCAAGTTAATTAAACATTACTTGTTTGTATTTTTCCATGGCTTAATTGAAAGAAACAATAATGTTTAAAATAACAGATTTGACTAATTATTTGTTCTAGGCCTTGGCTTAGGCTATTTCTTCCACCTGGAAAATCCACCTCATTCCAACCCTGGATGTATATATTCTACCTACCCTTCATGGTTTATTTCAAATGATACCTTCTCCACCTAAATCATGTTTATTTCCTCAGAACTCCCAGCACCTCTATTTAACCCTTTAGAGTTCACATTATATATAAGTCCATGATAAATGGTAGCTATCATTATTATTAGACACTGGATCTTTCCAGTTCTATAAATGTTCTCATTCTCTCCTGTCTTCCCTTGCCTGCTCCAATGGATGGATTTAGCTCAAACTACACATTTAGTATTGTGATACTAATTTTATTGTCTTTTAAAATAAATGGTTCAAGTTTTCATTTTTAATATCAACTGGTTAAAATAATATTTTTATTCTAAAGTTTCAGATTGTTGAACACAGCAGAAAATGATTTAACATGTCTCTTTGGAACTCATAAACATATGCAACTTTAAAAACTGAGAGTTAAACCTGAAACATGCTGGTGAGAGTAACATGGATGCTATCATATTAAAGGCCTTTGGAGGCAAGCGAGCATAGTTTACACGCCATCAGACCTATTTATAGAGCTGACTCCTTTCTGCAATGTCAACTGTCACCTTATACTTATTTTAAGCCTCAGGGTCTCAAGTATCAGCCTCTACTAGTTGTACAGTTCTCTCTTATTTGATATCAGAGAGCCCAATGGAGCCTTCTGAAGAACCTAGTCAGATTAGCAAAGATAACTTTTTAGAAGTTCCTAATTTATCTGATTCTCTTTCTGAAGATGAAGAAGTTAAAGCTACCTTCAGGCCTGGTTTCTCCCCTCAACCTAGCAGACGAGGTTCTGATTCATCTGAAGACATTTACCTGGACAATCCACCTTCAGGTGCAAGGAGAGTTTCATTTGCTGACAACTTTGGGTTCAATCTTGTGTCTGTTAAAGAATTTGATTCCTGGGAATTTCCGAGTGGTTCAACTGATTTTGACTTAATGAAGGACATTTTCCACACAGAAGAATATGTTTTATCTCCACTATTTGACTTGCCTTCTTCAAAAG